CGTTCCAAACAGCCCCGAACGGGCCCCAAACTGAGGGGGGAGGGGGGGAGGGGTGGGGCCTTCGGCCTCGGAGCCTCCTCTTCCTCCTCCTCCTCTTGCTCTGCTCCTGCTCTGCTTCTCTGCTCTTCCTCCTCAGCCTCTTCCTCGGCTCCTTCCTCCTCTTCCTGCGCCTCTTCCTCCTCCTCCTCCTCCTGCTCTTCCTCTTCCTCATCTTCCTCATCCTCCTCTTCCTCTTCCTCATCCTCCTCCTCTCAGGGACTCAGCCACGGAGCTGTGCCCTCATCTTCCTCTCCCTCCTCATCCTCGCCTTCCTCCCGTGTCTCTGGTTCTGTGTGTCCCCTCTTCTTCCTCCTCCTCCTCCTCTTCCTCCTGCTCTTCCTCCTCCTCTTCCTCGGGAGCTGCTTTGGGAATGTCACCGTTCTGTGTGTGTGGCCTTCCTCCTCCTCATCTTCCTCATCTTCCTCCTCCTCCTCATCCTCATCCCGCTCTGTCTCTGTGTCCCCTGATCTTCCTCCCCTCCCTCTTTTCCTGCTCTTCCTCAGGGATTTGGGAGTGGGGCTGTCACTGTGTCTGTGTTCGTCCTTCCTCATCTTCCTCATCCTCCTCTTCCTCCCGCCTTTCCTGCTGCTCTTCCTCCTCCTCTTCCTCGGGAGCTGCTCTGGGAGTGTCGCTGTTCTGGCTCTGGGTGTGTGGCCTTCCTCTTCATCTTCCTCTTCTTCCTCCTCCTTTTCTTTCTCTTCCTCCTCATCTTCCTCCTCCTCTTTCCCTCCCCTCCTCCTCCTCCTCCTCTTCCTCCTCATCTTCCTCTCTTTTTTTCTTCTCCTCCTTCTCTTCTCCCTCATCTTCTTCTTCCTCCTCTTCTTTCTCTTCTTCTTCCTCCTCTTCCATCATCCTCCTCCTCCCGCTCTCGCTCAGGGCTCAGCTCTGGAGCTGCCTCAGGCCTGGGCCTCTCCCTGCTCTTCCTCCTCCTCCTCCTCTTCCTCCTCCTCCTCTCCCTGCTCTTCCTCCTCCTCCTCCTCTTCCTCCTCCTCCTGCTCTTCCTCCTCCTCTCCCTGCTCTTCCTCCTCCTCCTCCTCTTCCTCCTCCCCGGGTTCCCCTTCAGCCGGGGCAGCTTTGGGATCTGGGGATGCATCCTGGGAATGAATCCCAGACCCTGTCCATGATCAATCCCGGGAATCCCAAACCCGGTCCATGGGATCCATCCCGGTCAATCCCAAACCCGATCTGGGGATCCATCCCGGGAATGAATCCTAAACCCTGTCCATGATCAGTCCCGGGAATCCCAAACCTGGTCCCTGATCCATCCCGGGAATGCCCCGGGAATCCCAAACCCCGATCTGGGAATGCCCCGGTCAATCCCAAACCCGGTCCATGGGATCCATCCCGGGAATGAATCCCAAACCTGATCTGGGAATGCCCCAGTCTATCCCATCCCCCGTCCATGGGATCCATCCTGGGAATCCCAAACCTGGTCCTTGATCTATCCCGGGAATCCCAAACCCCCGTCCATGGGATCCATCCCGGGAATGAATCCCAAACCCTGTCCCTGATCAATCCCGGGAATGCCCCGGGAATCCCAAACCCTGTCCCTGATCCATCCCGGTCAATCCCAAACCCTGATCTGGGAATGCCCCGGTCAATCCCATCCCCCATCCATGGGATCCATCCCTGGAATGCCCCAGGGATCCCAAATGTGATCTGGGGATGCATCCCGGGAATGCCCCAGGAATCCCAAACCTGGTCCCTGATCTATCCCGGGAATCCCAAACCTGATCTGGGAATCCCCCGGTCAATCCCAAACCCGGTCCATGGGATCCATCCCGGTAATGAATCCCAAACCTGGTCCCTGATCTATCCCGGAAATGAATCCCAAACCCGATCTGGGAATGCCCCAGTCTATCCCATCCCCCGTCCATGGGATCCATCCCGGGAATCCCAAACCTGGTCCCTGATCCATCCCGGGAATCCCAAATCCTCATCCATGGGATCCATCCCGGGAATCCCAAACCCTGGCCATGATCAGTCCCGGGAATCCCAAACCTGGTCCCTGATCCATCCTGGGAATGCCCCGGGAATCCCAAACCCTGATCTGGGAACACCCCGGTCAATCCCAAACCTGATCTGGGGATCAATCCCAGGAATGAATCCCAAACCCTGTCCCTGATCCATCCCGGGAATCCCAGACACGGTCCCTGATCCATCCCAGTCAATCCCAAACCCGGTCCATGGGATCCATCCCAGGAATGCCCCAGTCAATCCCAACCAATTCCCAATCTGGGAATGCCCTGGGAATCCCGAACCCTGTCCATGATCCATCCCAGTCAATCCCAAACCCCGATCTGGGAATGCCCCGGTCAATCCCAACCCTGTCCATGGGATCCATCGTGGGAATGAATCCCAAACCCTGTCCCTGATCTGTCCTGGGAATCCCAAACCCTGTCCCTGATCCATCCTGGGAATGCCCTGGGAATCCCAAACCCCAATCTGGGAATGCCCCGGTCAATCCCATCCCCTGTCCATGGGATCCATCCCGGGAATGAATCCCAAACCCTGTCCATGATGTATCCCGGGAATCCCAAACCCGGTCAGTCCCAAACCCCAATCTGGGAATGCCCCGGTCAATCCCATCCCCTGTCCATGGGATCCATCCCGGGAATCCCAAACCCCGTCCATGATCCATCCCGAGAATCCCAAACCCGGTCAGTCCCAAACCCCGATCTGGGAATGTCCCGGTCAATCCCAACCCCCATCCAATGGGATCAATCCCGGGAATCCCAAACCCTGTCCATGATCAATCCCGGGAATCCCAAACCCCGTCCATGGGATCCATCCCGGGAATGAATCCCAAACCCGGTCCATGGGATCTATCCCGGGAATCCCAAACCCTGTCCATGATCAATCCTGGTCAATCCCAAGCCCGGTCCATGATCCATCCCGGGAATGCCCTGGGAATCCCAAATCTGGTCCCTGATCTATCCCGGGAATCCCAAACCCCGATCTGGGAATCCCCCAGTCAATCCCACCCCCAATTTGGGCTCCATCCCCATCCCTGACCCCAATAAACTCCGGCTCGTTCTCTGCCCGTTCTCTCCCGTGTTCATTGGCTCCTTCCCCCTCTGTTCCCGGCGCAAGTTGGGAATTCCCAAATCGCTCCCGAGCTTTTGGGGTGGAATTTTCTGGGAATGCCGAGGTTTATGTGTGAGGGAAACTGAGGCACGGCGGGGAGGGGGCTCTGGCGTTCCAGGGATTGGGAATTGCGGCGCTTCCGACCGGGATTTGGTGGATTTGGGGGGCCGGGACTCAAACCCGGAGTATCCCCGGAGTATCCCYGGAGKAWSRGGCTGSAGAGGGGATCTTGTGCTGTGTGTAACCCCTGAGTATGAATTCGGGGCCGGAATTCCGGCCTGGAGTATTCTGAGAGTATCGCTGAGTACCCCCTGAGTATTCCCTGAGTATCCTCGGAGTGTTCACAGAGTATCCCCGGAGTATTCTTGGAGTATCCCTGTGGTCTGAGGTCCAGCCCCTGGAGTATCTCTGGAGTATTCCCTGAGTATCCCTGGAGTTATCCCAGAGTATCCCTGGCGTATCCCCTGAGTATCCCCTAAGTATTCCTGC